CCCCAAAACCCCAAAACCCCGAAATATAATATCTGCAAAGCATAATAAGAAAATCAAATTAAATATTAATTGAATTATTTTTAGTTCACTTAGTTTATCTCATAATTTTTAATAAACTTTTAGGCTTCAAATTAATAGCAGTTGTTAATTTATTAGTTGAATTATTAAATTGCGATTGGAATTCTAAGTATTAATCCTCTATCTATTACATCTCTTTTTAGTGTTCAATTGTATTTTTCTGACATAATTAAATCTGATATATACCTTCATCTGTATTATATACTTCAATCTCTTTTTCAACTGCTTCATGGATATAAAATGGATTTTCTGAGACTAATAATGTTGATAAAGGTTTCTATGTAAAGGATGAATCTGTTTCAAATTATTAGCTATTTAATTTATTCATTTTCAAATCGGGAGAATCTAGAATATTCTGATCACTGGGCGTTAGAATAATTTTGGAGGACACATCTCTTAACTATTTTTTCTAAAATAAATTACTCTTTATTTCTTCGCTTATTTTAGATTTTCTGAATATTTCTTTAGATTTTAGCCTATTACTTTCATTTTTTATTTTCAAATTCTACTTTTATTTTCCTATACTTTCTAAACTCTGACTGTCAATTTTTTTACCAGAAAATATAGATTTACTTATTTTACTCTTATTTAAGGATTTATTTCTTCTGCGGTGAACAAGTTCCTAATAGCAGTCTTCTTGAGTTTAATTTTAATTAAATTTTGACATATCAAGAGTAGATTGATTCAAAGTTGTTTTTGTTTCATTATTTCCCAAAGTTTCATCTTTTTGTAGAAAATATTAATTCCCATTAGGATTAATCTAAGCCTTTTTATCTCTATTAATAAGTTTTAGCCTTTGTAATAGTTTTATAAAGTTTTATCCAAATTTAAGAAAAGTTAGTCTTATCATTATGAACATGTTTACTGTAATGTTAAAAGTTGTGATTGCAATTGCTGAAAGTCCAAAGTTTGACTGAATATTTTAGTCGTCAACATATTCTGTAAATACAATCAAATGATAACCAGAGATAAGAATGCAAAGTTCATTGAAATATTCTACTCTATTTTGAAATTTAGACTAAAATGGTTAAACTATCCCAATAAAAATGAGTAAGGTCAATGACTATTAAAAAAGTATTAAAATTTGAAAGTAAGGGTAATCCATGAATAATATACAACCAAAAGCAAATATTAATCTTCTGCAAACGAAGAAAACATTAAATAAAAGGCTGATTTTTCTATCTGTTTTCAGTTAATCATACAATGATCCATATCTTTCTTTAAACTCTATTTATGTGAGATTAGAAAAGTTAATATCAAGAAATCCAATAATGAAAATTGGAAATCCAAAAGCAACTATCATTATAGCAATTGAAAGGATTGATGAAAATTTTTCACTGAAATTCCCAAATTTTATCTAATGTTAGTAAATATTAAATAATAATTTACCTTGTATATATTGATCATAGAATTTATCGCGAATTCCAAATATCCTTCCAATATAAATCTTAATATTAGATTAAAGAAAATTAGTCTTCCAAAAAATATATAAATTTTCTTGATCTTTTAAGACTTTGTTCCTAAAAATTTGAGGATCATTAGTGCAACAATAATAATTGCAAAGCCTATTGTAAAGTAGAATAAACTTCCTTAATTTTGAACAGCGTTTACGTTGTCGTAACTTGAAGTGCTAAGGAATATTATTAACAAAAGCAGAAAAATAATCATTAAAAGATATCCATATCTGAAAATCTTTTATTCAATGGCTCTTCATCACTGAATTCAAATATCTTTGACTCGAATTATTATGTCGGCAAAACATCAAATTGAGAAATAGATATTATCAAAGAATAGAGTAGCTTAGCATTTTCAGGAAAATTGATATTAAACAATGGAAGATGGGAAATAATTTGTATTACATTGATCATTCCCCATAAGTATTAAAGAGATGCTGACCTATGTAATGTTACAAGAATAAAATATTTCTACATTATTATATTTAGAGCTAAATTGCCTATCATTAAAGTCTTAAGTGAAGTAGAGGCAGTTGAGAGTAAACCAGCTAATTAAGGATCCACTAGAAAAATATGAAAACTCTTAAATTACTTTCAGAATATTTAGGCAGCTTATGGATCAATGTATATTCATTTGGAATGGGCTTGCTAGTGTTTTTTTCTAGGAATTTACCGTTTTGTAAGAAGATGATCTAAATCATATCGATTCCCTAAATAAATTATCAACATATTGAATCTACATTTAGTGAAATTTATTCAGGATTATAGTAGTTAAGTTTAATCCATAGATCAGAACTGTTAAAAAGTGTTGCATTCCAGCTAAATCCAAGATTTTCTGCATTAGAGTATTTCGATGGTATTATTTTTAACCTTAAGACTTATGAATCTATATTAGTGGAATTGAAATTCTTATTGCTAATGATCTCTGTAGAAAATCTTATCTTAATAAGTCCAGCTTTCTCTATTTAAACTATCTAAGGAATCAGTGTTGGGGAAAACCCAGTCTTAATTACCTTCGGCTAATATGAAAAGCCAAATTCACCTTAGGCTGCTTATTCCTCTGTCAGTATATTCACCTAAAGAAAATATTTGGTACGTTTTATGTTTCTATTTTTATCTTCAAGTATTATCTTGATATAATATGTCCCATTAGATTTCAAACCTGGACTAAATTTTAAATCAGGGTATTAAAAAACTGTGAATGGTGTAGTTTGAGCTAAATCAAATATAATCGAGTATTAATCTTAATCGGGATCTGCTATCGAAGGTAGCTTATATTGAAATTCGGTATTGACCATCATATATAATATCTTAAGAGATTCTTCAAATTATGGTGGACCTTAATTTATAGATTGATATTTTGTGGAAATAACTTAAAGATAGAATTCTGCAATTTCATAATAACTATAACCATAATTGATAGGGGTATCTACTTTAGCTGTTATTTAAATCAAATAGCTTGCAGCGTATTAATCTCTATTAGTAAAGATACTGAATTTTCAGGCAAGTTTATCGAAGGCTATAAATGGTAAGAATCCAATTTACCCTTAAATTTTATAAGTGTAATCTATACTATGTGAGCAATTAGGTGACTTAATGAATTAGTTGAAATAAAATACTAATTATTCGTCTCCCACAAGATATGAATAATTCATGAAGGTAGGTACTGTCAGATCTGTAACAAAACATCAAACTTATAGAGTAAATTGACTTTGATTTTTGGCAAGTGGATAATTTAAAAGATTTCCAGAAACAATGATTTGATAATTTCCTTCATTATTAGAATCTGATGTTTAAATAGTAATTTTGTTGTGTGTTGAGTCATGAATGATGAAATCTGGTAAAATTATCAAACTGCCAGAAGTTTGATTAATTTAGTAAACCTATAATTTATACATTCCACAATCGTAGTATGATTATACTTTTGTCCAAGTGCCAAGATTTATAGTTACCGTTGGATCATTCAGCTTATAGATTAAATCTGAGTAAGCTGATGGAATAAATGAGCTGGTGTCACAGTCATATATTTAAATTCTTAATTTCACTTATATCTATAGTGCATTTGAATCACCGTGCTTATAATATCCAATTAATGTTACACCTTTTTCAGTATTTGCTGTAACTACATTAGTGTTAGTTTAGATTTAATAACTATTTGTCAAATTATTATAACTGATAAGAGTAGAATCATAACTTGCAAGAGTTATAGAATCTACAAGATTAATGACTGTCTCACAGTTGGTATTACTAAATATGAAGGGTTTGAATTCATAAATTTAAGTTCCATTCTGTTTTCTGTAAATCACTTATTCATCTGATTGTTGCGGAGTGATTGTTGCTGTAAGACAAGGATTTTTAATTTTTACCAATACATATTTGAAAGAAGTCTCTGAAGGAATTTACTACAGAATTGAATCTATTTTTATTGTATATTCCTTGACGTCTAATAGTGAATTTGTATTGACTCGGAGTTTATTACTTCCTGCAATAAATTAGATATATTAGGGAAGTTACTAATCGAGCAGAGTTAGGTCACCATCCATATTAGTCACATTTGACATATAAATAAGTGATGAGGTTTAAGTATACTTTGCATCATAGCAGTATGGGTTTGAAGAAAAAGACTTGATATCAAAGTCTTTTTATCCAGTATAGAGATCATATTAGATTGTAAGGTTTGATGTAGATTTTATATTGATTTGATAATTATTGCACCAATTATTAAGGATCTCGTTGTTACTAATGATATTTGTTGAAATAGCAGATCCTGATGATGTCAATATGTAGAAATGACTAATATCTATGTCAACTAAAGACATTGAAGCAACTTTGATTGCTGTTTTATATTAATTGGAATATGTGAAAGGAACACAGCTTTATCCTGGATGATAAGCCATCAAAGCACCAACGTATTTGTTATATGATTTTCCAGCTAAATTAATGTTTTTTATGTCTACTATAAAGTATGAATTCTAATAATTGTTAAAAACTGAAGCTTTTAGTAAATTTACACCCCCGCTAAGTGGTGAAAGATCTTATTCAGCTATTGATAGAGTAGTTTAAGTAAAATTCAACTTTAAGAAATAAAACTTGGAAGAAGAATCATAAGAAATGTATGCATATGCAATTCATTAATCATGAGCGTAAATTCCTCTGCATGATATCTAATTAGCATCACTTCCATAATAGCTATGAGATTAGTTGATTGCTTAAAAGGAGTCATCATATTGATATGAAGAAAAAATTGCTTTCTTAGTTGTTTAGTATTAACTGCACATATAAACTGTATTAATATTGATTGATGAGTCATAGTGAGCATCAATATCCATGACATAGTATAACTAACTACCAGACTGAGATATTCCCCTTGCAAAATTTAAATTAAAAAGTGTATCTAAGTTATAGTTGATTAAATACAGCCAAATATCACCTGATTTATCAGTTAAATATCCTCCGAAAAGTAACTATTTATGAATAGGAGTTGTCTAAATTTTTACTGCATATCCATTTGCTCCATTCACATCATTACAAAGTCTTACATAGCTGATAGATGTGGGATCACTAGTGGAAGTCTTCATAAATCAGAGATTTTTCCCTATATTTACATAAGCTGTATAAACATTGTCATTATGATCTATGGCCATGTAAGTAGACTAGAAAATCATATTTGTAGTTGTCATTCTTTAGCTCGAGGAAAGTGATCCATCTGATTTTTTTAGAATAACAAAGCGGATATGCAAGGTTGAACTGATTTGAAAAATAAGCTTTGTCTCATCAGTATTAAAAGCGATTGTTAAAATGGATGAGTAATCTATCAATCCTTTTTACCATTTAAGAACTCCAGTTTAATCGACTAGTGATGCAATTGCTACAGAAGTTGTGGAAGTTGCTGATGATGAGTATGACGAGTCGAAGGTCATTCCTCCGATTGCTATATTACGCTTTGAATCAAATGCAATCGCATTCAATTTAGTATCATCTTAATTTCCTCCAACAAGCAAAGGAAATAACTATCCAAAGCAATATTGAGAGAACACAGAATTCAGTAAAAGAAAGATTATAAACAAAGCTATTTCTAAATGCTTTAACATTTATGGATAATAGATAAAAAATATATAATAAAATGAGAGTTTAGTAAATAAGCATAATTCTAAGTAATCCTTTGTATTTTTCTATATTTCAATATCTTAAAAAGTTTGGATGGCGGGGTTTTGGGGTTTTGGGG